GGGTGGGAGGAGTCTCCCACCGTTCAGATGGGGAATTCTGACTCAGGGGGCCTGGGAAAAGGGGAGAGGAGCCCTGGAATCCTCAAGTTTGGCACTCAGGAGTGGGGGTGATACAAGCACTTGCAAAACTCTAGTTAGGAGGCAGAAGGAGGCTGTAGGTGAAAGGCCGGGCTGGGATCCCTGGGGAGTCCCCCCCCGAGGGCCACATTCCTCACTAGCAAAGAGGGGGCAGTAATATTTTGGCACTTGGCATAGGGTAATGTGTTCAGCTATTGGTCCTTGAGGCTTCAACCTCCTGAGACGAGCTTGAGAGGTGGGGGTCGGGGGACGACACTCTGAACCCACTTTGGCCAAAGTCCTTTTCTATGACCAACACCCCAACCCTGATTTCCTGGCAAAAAACACCAGACTGGGGCCAAAATCATTCTCCAGTCTGTTTTGTGGTAGCAGTCACTGGCTGGGAATCTGAGTCAAGGCTGGTTGGTGGAGCATGCCCATGTGTGGACGTACACCGCTACAATCAGAAGCAGATGGGCAGACGGTGTGGCTCAGTGGGTAGAGCACTTGCTCTCTGTGCACGAAGACCCGGCTTCTATCCCCAGCATTGCAAAGACCAGGCACGGTGCTGCACGCCTGCAATCCCAGCACTCGGGAGGTGGAGGCAGGAGGATCAGAAGTTTAATAATGGTCATCCTCGCCTTCACAGTGAGTCTGAGGCCAGCCTGGGCTATATGATACTCTTTCAAAAAGAAAAAAGATGAACCAGAGACTATACAACCCCACCCACACTGTCCCGAGCAGCTGAAGTGAGGCTGGTTTATCCGTGTTGGTGGTGGAAAGTAAACAGCAGGGTCTGAAATCCCTTGGAGTCACAAGAGCTGTTTTTGGCGGCTCTTTCTTCCAGGGCAGGGGTGGCTGGGGAGTTTTGGTTTGATGGCTGAACCGACTCTTCTTCTAGAAGCTAATGTCTGTCCTGTGCCTCTCTATTCAAGAGTCTCTGTGGCTGAACCGGAACACCATGCCCTATGTGTCTTCCCTGCTTTTACACCAACCCAGGCCTCCCAACACCTCAAGACACTTTTGCGCTGAACTGCTGGGGTGGCTACATCTTGGAGTGACCTTTCTCTCATCCTGTCACCTTCAAGACGGCCTCCCCATCCTGACAGCCCATCTCATCTAGCCTTCTCTTATGAGCCAAAGCCAGATCATCCCTTTGCTTGCCTCACCAAAGTGATCATGCTCTAGTGGGCACTGGAGGGGGTAAATTGAGGCTGTCCCTTTCAGGAGCTGTGACTCTGAGGTCCTCTTTGCAGGACTGAGGTGAACAGAGGGCTTTCCAGGCCTGGCTCACCCAGCCTGATGTTCTTGTTTTATAGATGGGAAGCTGTGGCCCAGTGAGCAACAGCATCCTCCGGGGGCCCACGGCCCTAGTTAATGACTGGAATAGGTAGGTTATATCCTATCTTTTGTGTTTGTACCCCTCCCTGGCTGGGTGGTTCCCCTGGGACCATCCCTGGAAGAATGACAGGGTTCTGAGAACCAGTGGGAGTTTTTCCTGTGCTTCTGCAGAGGTGGGAGCTTCCAGATTTCTGGGGAAGAGCCTTTGATCTGTGAGGGGTGCAAGGTTAGCGAGTGCCCACAAGGGGGCAGCATAGAACTCTCAGGCAGTCAGAATGGGTGGTGCTCTGGATGCTGGAAAGGGTGGGCATGAAGCCCAGCTGGTAAGTAGATCGCCTAAGCATCAGATCTGCTCAGAGGCGGTGGGTTCAGCACTAAGGATGTCACTATTGATCTGTTTTGTCCATGACTTCTCAGTAACTTTTTTCCCTCCCAGAGACAGGGTTTAGCGTGGCCCAGGCTGGCTTCAAACTCACTAAGTAGCTGAGGATGACGTTGAACGTCTGATCCTCCTGCCTCCACCTCCTCAGGACTGAGTTGACAGTCACATGTTACCGTCTCTGGTTTATGCAGTGCTGGGGATGGAACTTGGGGCTTTGTGCGTTCCAGACAAGCATTCTACCAACTTACCAGCCAGACACTTTCAGTACCATCTCAGCAACAGGCCTGTTGATCACCATCAACCAGGGCTTCTGGGGTGGGTGGCACAGCTTCCTCCTACTTAGTCTGGCCCTGTGTGACTCTGCCAGGCATACTGTCCCAGAGCAGCTGGCCCCATTTCCATAGTGCCCTGGCTTAGGTTCACAAGACAGCTTTCTTTCCTCAAGAAACAAGCCTGCACCCAGCAGCCGGAAGCGTCTCCTGATGCTGGGCAGGTGGGAGCTGGTGCTTGGGGAGGCGGAGCCAGGAAGGGATTAGTAGCTAGGCAGCAGATAGCTCCAAGCTGTGTGCCCATGTGAGTGGGCAGCCTTAGTGGAAGGCGCTTGGCAGCAGGGTCTGCCACTCCCTGCTGAGCAGTCATGGAGAAGTGGGGGAGGACACTGTCCCATGATCGAGAAGTGAACAGTACCTACACCCAGGACAGCCACAGTGATGTCCGTCTGATATCCTGAAGAGGAGACGGAGGGTCTGGATAGCACCCGTATTCTGAAAGGAAATCTGCAGAGTCCCAGGGCTCTACATGAAAACACTGGGCTTTAGGGGGCGGGCAAGCAGGCGAGCTGGCTAGAAGACACCAGCCTAGTGGATCAAGACAGGAAGCCATCTGACGGCAACACTGACTGCCAGGCCTCGTGGGGCTCTGGAGGAGGGGGTGGAGGAGGTGGGCTGGGGAGACAGTTAATCTACAGAGCATCAGGGCGGCTCCCACCAGAAGGTGACCTTGTGTGCTGGGACAGCTGCCATCCGTGCTGGGCATCTTTGGGGGCATAAAGGGATGGCCAATGGGCCACCGTTGGCCGCTTGGTGGGAAACTTGCCAAGACTTTCCCTGTGGCCAATCCCGCTGTCCTCACCCCAGGGACAACTTTCTTCTCTAATTCCTTCCTTCCCTCTGCTCTATGGACAGGTGACTAACGGATGACAGGCTGGGTGCGATGGCTTTGCTGACCGTGGGGCCTTTTGCTGGTGGCCCGTGGCCCCAGTCTTCCCCACTGGACAGGCTCCTCAAAGATGCTCAGCAGACAAAGGAAAAGGTCCTGAGATGCGGTGTCCCTGGGATACCCCCTCCTCTTTGACAGACTTATCTGCAGAACACCACTTCCTGCCGCTTCCTACTGCGCACACACACAAAAACCACTTACAGTAAGTCTGAGCCCTCAGCATGGGACAGCACTGTGTGGGTGAGGGGATTGTACCTGTGGCTGAGTGGGGGTCCACAGGCCCCACATCACAACCACCTGACCACAGCTCACCCAATACCCATAGTCCCCGTCCTCTGGCAGGGGCATTCTGAGTCTTGTGTACACCCCTGCTTCTAATGTGTCTACCGTGTGGCTCACTCTGCAGAGCTGAGCTAATCCATTGCCTGCCTGTGCTTCTGAAGACCCTGAGCTAGGAAAGCTACATGAGCTCCCCCCACCAGGCCCCTCCATGAATTTCCTCAGTCTGGGCCTTTAGGATCCTGGAAGGGGGGGGCAGAATAGGGGTTGGGAAGAGTCCCTCCTTTGCAAGAGCATTCAAAGTCATTTGGCAGGTCCCAAAAGTGACAGGGCCTTTTACTCGGAACTTACAGAGTACAGGGGTCACTTTATAACTAAAGCATTTATTTCCATTCAATTCACTAATGGATTGTTCTGCTCGGGTTCCTGCATTGGCCCACAGGGGAATCTGTGGCCAGACCCCCGGTGTTCCTCTGGCCAAGACCTTAAGACCTGGGCAAAGGCCTCATGGAAGGAAGAAGTGAGAGAGAGTCACATGGTCTCCGGGGGGTACCCTTGGAGGGCTGGGGTGTCACAGTGAATGATCAGGGTCCTGATGTCCCGGGTAGCCTGCTCCAGGCTCCCAGAGGTGAAATTGGGTTTTGGCCATCGGAGAGCACCCAAGAACCTGAAGGGGCCTCTGTGCCTGCAAAGTACCAGATAGAACAGGGCAAAGAGCGTGAAAGTGTGCAGGGAGGCAGGGAAGACTTCCGGCCTAGGAGCCCCCATCTGCCTCAGTCTGCTTTCCAAGGTGGGATGCTCGGTGCAACTCCTTCCGCTCCCCCAGCCCCACTGAGGTCTCTGAATGACCCAGGTGGCCCTGTGACAGTTGGCTTTGGTGAGGCCTGGCAGCAGGTGAGAGGAGGGAGGGGTGTCAATGAAAAGCATATAAAAATCCAGAAATGTGCATATAAAATCTCGCCCTTGGTGTATTGCCTAAGTCAGTAAGCAGTAAGCACCTTCTTCCTGGAGAAGGATCAAGTCCTCAAAAGGTAGGAAATGTCAAAGTGTCTCTTCATTGTCATTTAAAAAAAACCCAACAAACAAACCCTCCCCAGACCAAAGCCACCCCGATCAAAATACCCCCAGTCCATGAATTGCTGTAAACAAACCCAGATGCAAGATCAATGCTTCTCAGTGGCAGTCGTAGCTGATGACAGTCACCCGCAGCATTGTCCTCAGGGTGAGGCCGAGCGGGAGCAGGCACCCGGGCAGGGCAGGGCCTCCTGGGGCTGCAGACCTGGGTGGCTGGGCCTCAGGAAGATCTGGCCTGTTTGGCATGACCTGGGAGGCCAGAAGCTCCTCTTCCGCCTCCTGAACCATTAGCTGAAAGTCTCTCGGAGTTTTTGAAATCGTCTCTCAGGACAAAACTAGTCTCCTGTCTGCTGGCGGCAGCTGGAATGGACTCCTCGGAGCCTATGTGGGCTGGCTGCCTGTCTCTCTGCCCCTTGTGCCTAGGGCTGGGCCGTTAGTGACGCTCCAAGACACAGCTAAGGCCAGGCAAGGAGGGTGGCCCATCTCTTCCCTTCATATTAATCATCCTGGAAATGTTTCCTGGCTCCGGCCAGCTCAACCTTCCCAGAAGGAGCTGGAGAGAAAATGCTCTTGGCTTCCAATGGGACAGACCGTGTGGCTCTCCCAAGCCTTTTTCTTTTCTCCCCTAAGAACCATCATCACTCTTCTTATGAGAATCCTCTTGGAACAAACGGTCCTTACCTGTCCCGCCCCCTCCCAGATCTAGGTGCGCGTTCCCCCCTTTCCCTTTTCCTTCCTTTGACTTGCATGGGTTCTTGGTGACGTCTTGTTGGCTGGAGTGCTGCTTGGTGCTTCCTGTTGCCTTGTGGCCTCCTGGCAGGTGGCGGACCCTGCAGTGGACAGGGCAGCAGAGGGACCGACGTAGGGGGCTTAGGGGGCGGCGTGGAGGAAGAGGCGAGCCGAGGCAGGCGAATGTCAAACCTCCACAGACTGGATCTGGTTCATCTGGGCCCGCATCACCTGGATACTGTTCAGGATTTTTTTCTGGTGGCCAGCTAGGGTGACCCCAACACGGAGAATGTCCCTTTGGGAGAGATGGACAGAGTTAGGAAAACGTATGTGTTGAGGAGGTGGTGGGCCAGATGCCTTAAGTTCCCCAGGCCCTTTCGTGCTGAGGGATAGGGAAAGGATGTGGGGATGGGTAACGGGTATCAAGGCTGGACTAAGAGACTCTGGGGCCAGATCAGCCGATGCAGAGGCAGGAGGCCCGTTTTCCTTCTGCCATCCAGAAGCGTGGATGGACTTGGATTGGCCATGTACCCACTTCCTTGGTTCTCCTTCACTAAACCCTGGTTTGCAGATGAAAACTCTTCCCAGGCTTTTGGGAGACACCAGGTGGACCCGGCTATAGATCTGGATGTGCCTGACTCCTTAGTCCCTGCTACCCGTTACCCCTGCTGGGTCACTGCCTATTCACTCTCCCGCGCCCCACATCTGGCTGCTGGGGTGGAGGGTGGGGAGCGGGTGTCAACAGCGATGGGCGGAGGTCGCTAGGCACTTACTCCATCATCATCTGAGATACAACGTCAAAGGAGGTGAAGCCGGCGTTGGCGAAGCTCTCCTTGTACTGGCCCATCTTGATGGCTTCCAGCCACTCATCCACCGTGTTAAAGCTGGTGTAGTCAGGGATCGTTCGGTCCAGCAGAGGCAGGTTGATGCTGGGGAGGGGCAGGGGACAGGGGATGGTCAGGGCACACACTTATAGCCAGGTGGAGGATAGGAATGCATGTGGTACCTGTGTGGGTATCCCTGTGTAAACACAGGTGAGTGTGTGTGTAGGTGTTTATGCGGAATATGGACATGAGTCAGAACTTGTATAAGGGTGTATCATGAGTGCCGGAGGAACCTGGGGAAGGCTCTGGGAATCCCCACTTATAGGAGGGCCTTCGGTTGGGCGATGGTGCCAGCTAGTCCCTGCTTCCTCCCCTAGAGCCTGTCTTCCCCTTTCTCTGACCTTGGTATGTGCTTCCAGCACATGGACCACACCATCAGATCTACCACATGCAGACAAGGCTCAGAGCTAATGGGACAGCCTCTGGGTGGGCAAGGCGTGCACAGCTCTCATGAGGGGAAGGGATCAGGGGCTTCATCTAGACCAACAGTTCTCAACCTAGGGGTTGTGACCCCTTGGAGTTTAACAACCCTTTCACAGGGGTCACCTAAGGTCATCGGAAAACACAGATATTGATGCCATAATTCATAACAGTAGCAAAATTACAGCTGTACAATAATTCAGTTGGGGGGCTCACCACACGAGGAACTGTATTAAAGGGTCGCAGCATTAGGAAGGTTGAGAACCACTGCTCTAGAGAGAAGAATGACTGACATAGGGTCAGGGTCAGGGTCAACAGGTGGAAGTTAGTACGAAGACCTCATGGCCACAGACAGACTTTGACTCAAGGAATCTAGGTTTGGCTGGCCCTGGTGGAGGGGTACCTGGTTGCACACTTTCCCCCTAAACCCCGTGGGACTGACAGTCCCTGTTAGTGGGACCAGCAGCTATGTGACCCATGAAAGTCGTATGACCTGTATGATAGCTGTCCTTGGATTCCAGAGAGTAAGACTGAGCAGGGTCAGCAGCCGCCTGACCTTGTAATAGCCACCTCTGGAAGGCAATAATGAGGCAAGCCTAATGGAGCATATAGCCACCTCTGGAAGGCAATAATGAGGCAAGCCTAATGGAGCATATCCTGGGACTGCAGGAAGGAAGTCCCAGGGTCCCTGAACCCTGTCCTGGGGCTGAGCTGGTATTTCCATCCTGGGGACATGTATGTGGTGGGTATGGCCTTCTGAAGGGGGGCATGTGTGCACTGGTGGCTACGTGGTTCTGAGAGCGCGCGCGTGTGTGTGTGTGTGTGTGTGTGTGTGTGTGTGTGTGACCAATCATGAGTGCTGTGCCTCACTCTGTGCATGAAGGACTTTGCACAAGTGGTTATGTGTGTGTGTGCATTTGTACCTGTTCCAACAAGGGCACAAATGCACGCTGGGTGTGGAGAGGAAGAAAGAACAGTTAGAGGAATCTGTGCTGAACACAGCCAGTCACCACCGAGACTCCAGATGGTAGGCAGTGCTTCCTAAATGCTGTCCCCTCCAACCCTGCTTTACAAGGGTCTTCCTCCACCACCCCAGACTGTCACTGGGCAGGGCCCAGATAGCACCCAGAGGAGATGGGTGGGGCTAAAGTGAATCACACCCAGAAGCAAGGGCTTGGAGACAAGGGTGGGACCAGGGCAGCCATACCCAGATGACAGGGGCGCCATGGCTTTGAGGCTGTTGGGATTTCGGATCATCTTGTCCAGCGTGTTGACAATCTGGCCAAACTTGGGCCGATGGTTGCGGTCCTTCTGCCAGCAGTCCAGCATGAGCTGGTGCAGGGCGCTCGGGCAGTCCATGGGCGGAGGTAGCCGGTAGTCCTGTTCTATGGCATTGATCACCTGGGGAATGGCAGAGGCGGAGTGGGGCTGGGTGGCGGGGGTGAGGACTTTAGCCAGGAACATTTATCGCTGGAGCATTGCAGACCTGACCCATGGGGACTCGTTGAGCTCCTAAGACTGCCTTGGGTTCCACCATGGGTTCCCACCATCCACTGCCTGTCTGTCTCCTGTGTCAAGTCCTGGCCCCTCTCTCTGCCAACCTTGGAAACCCAGAAACCTCAGCCTGTTCCCAAGTCCTATCAGGGTGACTTCCTTGCACTGGGCTGTCCCAGCTCTTCATTTTCACCATCTGCGAGCCCCCTCCTGGCTCTGACGGCTGTGGACATCCCTGCTGGCCCCATTTGACTCTAGGGTAGCCATATCCTTAATCTGAGTGCTCACAGAGATCCAGATAGAGAGCTGGGCCCTGAGCTGGCCGGTGACCTTAGAGCCAATACCTGCCTCTCTATCAGAGACAGGAGGTCAAACATGCCTTCGATCTGCTCTACCACCATGAAGATAAGACTCTTCTAACGGAACTTGACCACAGCTTAACGAATTTCCCCTTCAAGGAGCCTCATCCTTCCAGGGTATTTGTGTGAATGAAAATTCCTGGGGAGACTTCAGACTCCTCCCCTGAAACCTGCTACAGTGTGGATCTCAATGTTACTCAAAAACCCATGTGCTGGAGGTTTGGTCCTCAACTTGGGGACCTACGTGAGGGTGGTAACTCTTCTAGGGGATGGGGCCCAGCGGGAGGAAGATAAACCACTGGAGGCATGCCAAGAGGGGGACACTGGGATGCTGGTCCCTTCTTCTCCATTCTCCTTGCTTCCTGTTGTTATGAAACAAGCAGCTTCCCTTACATTTCCACTGTCACGTATGGTCCTCAAAGAGATGGGCCAACTAGATAGACCGAAACTGTGAGCTCAAACCTTTCTTCCTTTTAAGGTGACCGTTTCAGGCAGCTCGTTATGACAGACAGCTGACCCATACAAATCCTCGCTACCCTTTCTGACTGAGTTTCCGCTCCAAGCTCCCGACCCTGCTTCTCATCCTCGCCTCTACACTTTTGCGAGAGCCGTTCTTCCCACCGCAGGCCCTCGCTCTCCGAGGGCTATTGGTTCTGTGGAGACTTCTTGGCTGACCTCGTCCTGACTGTCCTGGCCTCCACACCCACAAGGCTTGACACTTGTGTTCTACACTTTGGCACCTGACCATAACAATCCCTGATGCTTGCGGCTGATTCTCTGAAAAGTCATCTCGGGGCACATGAGACGGTTTAGCAGGTAGAGGCACTTGCTACCAAGAACTCAGAACCCGCATGGTGGAAGCAGAGAACTGATACCCACAGATTGTCCTCTGGTTTTTACACATGTTCCACGACACTTTAGCTAGCACGCGCGCACACACACACGCACGCGCGCACACACACACACACACACCACACACACACACACGCACGCGCGCACACACACACACACACACACACACGCGCGCGCGCACACACACACACACACACACACACGCACACGCACGCGCGGACACACACCACACACACACATGCACGCGCGCACACACACACACACACACACACGCACATGCACACACACATACACACACACACACACGCACGCGCGCACACACACACACACACACACACACACACACACACACACACGGCAGCATGGCTTCTTGGGCCTAGCTGCTCCCACATGCTGAGGATTCGCCTATTGGTGGTTGAGCAGGTGGACCTCCCTCTTTCCTCGGTGACAGTCCAGGTTCATCTGCCTGGGAGCCAGGCCTTCAATCTCAGGGAAATCAGCCCAAGGCCAAGAGTCCCTGGTCTTGCCCTCCTCAATCTGGCGGTCCAGGAAAACCCTGCCCACATCCCGGAGACTTACGTCCTGGTTGGTCATGTCCCAGTAGGGCCGCTCCCCGTAGGACATCACCTCCCACATGACAATGCCATAGCTCCACACGTCGCTGGCTGAGGTGAATTTCCGGTACTGAATGGCTTCCGGCGCTGTCCAGCGGATGGGGATCTTCCCACCCTGGGAACAGAGAGAAGAGGTTGATGGGGTGGGGGGGATAGTGACCTGTCTGATCTCTTCTCTCAATACTCCCCATACTGTGCTGTTTCAGAGCCCAGGAAGAAACTCGTTGTTTTCCAAACTCCTCAGTTTTTTTCAACCACATTTCTATACGCTGCTTCCTCTGCTGGAAACGCCTTTCCCCACACTGCCATCTGGAGTCCACCTTTTCATCCTTGAGTTCCCAGAAAGTCTTTCCCTGGTTCTCAGAGAGTTCCTGATTCCCTAGATTCCACGGTGTGCTCATTCATGTCTCTCTTGCCTTCCCAGGCCATGTTCTGGCGTCCAGTCCTTCACTCTCTTCTGTTCACCATCTCCCTGCTTCTGCAGCCCAGGTAACCCAAGAGCCCAGGAGTTTTTCTGTGTGTCCCTTCCTGTCTCCAGGGCTCAGTGAAGGCTTGGCCTGGGCATGTTGGTGGATACACACAGCTTAGAGAGGTGGCTATGCCCAGGGACCCTTGCTGTCCTCTTACCAGAGCGCTGGTATAGGTGGGGTCAGAGGTGTCATCCTCGAGGAAGCGTGAGAGCCCGAAGTCAGACACCTTGCAAACCAGGTTGCTGTTGACGAGGATGTTGCGTGCGGCGAGGTCACGGTGCACATAGTTCATGTCTGCTAGGTACTTCATGCCAGCTGCGATGCCCCGCAGCATGCCCACCAGCTGGATGACTGTGAACTGCCCATCATTTTGCTGTGGGGAAGGCGGAAAATAGAGTGGATGGAAGAGCAAGTGTCAGTGCTCTGGAACTGCTCACAGTGGCAGCTGTCTGCCACCTCTGTACACGCCGCAGGAAAGACTCAGATACCCAGGAACCTCAGCGTGGCCTAGGAGAGGCCAACTTGAGGACAGTAGGGAGAACACTAGCCTTGGAGTAAGCGTGCATGGATTGACCCCGTCCCTGCAAGCTTAGACACATGACCTACTCTCTGAGTCTAACTGCTCACCTGTTAAACAGGGCACAAGTGACACACATCCCTTAGGGTTGTGCTGACTTGAACAGGAAGCTGGTGCTGGGACCAACTTCATCAACATTTGCTGAGTGACAGCTGGCTCAGTGGCACACTCCCGACACCCAAGCCAGCGCTCGCTTGTCTTGATGGCTGACTGCGTTGTCCGGAGGGGATTCATCTGTTGGCCTTTTGCTTTGATTTGTCTCCTTTATCCTGTGCAACTTGGGGGAGCTACAAGGTCTGCAGAACACCCTTGGATGGGTGTCAACAGCCATGGCTGTAGCTCTCCCTTTGGCCCTCTGACCCTGGGCGAATGCTTCTTCTCTCTGAACTCTATTCTGCTGTGTCATGAGAATGCTTCTTGAGCATGGACAGGCAGGCACCTCAGGTGGTACAACCCTGAGGGAATGCCTGGGCTTCCCAGGAAACCACATTAAGGACTCTGAGATTGCTTCTGAGTGAGAGGAAGCTCTGGGATTGATTAACAGTGCCTGTCAGGGTAAGACAATGAACGGTAGTGACCAGTAAGCTATTCCTGGCCTAGCGCTTTCTCGAAATTCAACGAAGTTATGCCCAGCAGCCTTTTCCTACCCTGCTCACACCCCTGGGCTCTCCGTACCCGGAGGAAGGAATCCAGTGAGCCGTTCTCCATGAACTCAGTGATGATCATGACAGGTGTGCTCTTGGTGACAACCCCCTCCAGGTGGATGACATTGGGGTGGTCGAACTGGCCCATGATGGATGCCTCACTTAGGAAGTCCCGGCGCTGCTTCTCCGTGTAGCCCGACTTGAGGGTTTTGATGGCCACAAAGATCTCTCTCTTGCCTGGCAGCTTCAGATGGCCACTGCAGACCTCACCAAACTCCCCTGGGATAGACACATTGAGACAGATATAGTGTCATGTGGGAAGTGTTACCTCCCTGTGGCCTGCCACTCCCATTGTAGGTGCGTTATGACCTCATTCTAGCAAACACAGGATCCCGTTGTGAATGTAGGACCTAGAACAGGCCCAGCCATCTTTGGGAAAGTGGGTCCTTCACGGCTGCCCTGAGGTATCTGGGGATGAGTACATGGGGAGACTTGAGGAGCTGGGGACAAGACCATGGTGGAAAGGACAGAGGTAGGCTCCAGATCCAGTTTAACCTCCAACTTGCTGTGCCTCACGACAGCCTCAGTTTCCCTTCTATGCCTATGATGGTTTTACAGAATGACTTCTGAGGGTTCTTTGTAGGCCCCTATCTTCAACTTATCATCAATTTCAGGGTTACACTGTGATCACCCACCCATGGCCAAAGCCACGGTACCTTGAGGCATTTGCTACCTACCTGCTCCGATCACCTGCTCAATCTTGACACAGGAGATGTCAATTTCCTTGGCAAACTCCCGCACTGCCTCATTAGGGTCTTCATAGGTGAAAGGGTCAATATAGATCTTCATGCCTGGGGTCACTGGGGGACAAGACCAGGCTGGGTTACATGGGCAGGCTCCAGAGGTGCACACATGGAAAAATGGCAGGCAGTCCCCCCAGGGTAAGGATGCTCCTATATGGTCGGTCCTCTTCTGAGTTCACCTGACCCATCTAGGTCTCACTGAGTTGATGGGCAGCGAGTAGAAAGGTGGGGGGTGGGGATGGAGATCAGAAAAGTGATAAATAGGTTCTAGTCTTGTTCTAAGATCACAGATCACTAATAGCTTTCTGGAGCAGCTAAAAGACTCTGGGATCGACTAGCGGTGTCTGGTTTTGATAACGGCATAGAATAAAAGGCTGGATAGGTTTGCAGTCCTGTGATACAGAATCCAGGTGCAAGGACAAGAAAGAGGAAGTCGTAAACGAAAAGAGGGCTTGGAAGATGGCTCAGTGATGAGCCCACCACTCAAGCACAAGGACTTGAGTTCAGAACTCTGGTACCCACGTTAAAGCCAGGGTAGGAGGATGGCCATGTAATCCCAGCATTGGGGTTTGGGACACGTGGATGGAGGTGGGTGGATCCCTGAAGCTCAATAGCAGCTAACTTAGTCAAACTGATGAGCTTCAGGTTCGGTGAGACTCCGCCCCCCAAATAAAGGTGGGAAACTTGACACTAACCTTAGCACTCACAAACATGCATACATCTATACGAACAAGCACACATGCTCACAAGTACACCACAATACACAAACACACACATTCACACACGCACGCACATACACACTTGCAGCCAGGTCCATGAGCCTGTGGGTGCCTCACTCACCACATCTTGAGTATCCTACACTCCTGTATCCTCACTAGCTGAGGCTCAAGCCTTTCTGGATCCCTGGATTCCTTGGTGAGCAGCCTGAAGCCAGATCCAGGACACACTCATTTCATTCCTGACCTGCTGTCAATGTTTACGTGTGTGGATTCAGAGAGAGAATCTGAACAGTCTGGGCAGCAAAGTCCCCTTCTGACCCGTGATGAAGTCACTGAACTGCTGTGATGGAAGGAGGGCTATCAGTCTGTCTTCCCCTTCCGACTTGGGTATCCCGACACCCAGGCCTTCCTCTGGGCTCCCAGCTCTCCACTCCCATTCTCCTCCGTGCTGGAAGCTGTGTCACTTCAGGCAGCTGTTCTAGGACTCAGAAGCTGGAGCCCCTGGGTCCTCCTCATAGGCCACCAACCCAGCTCAGCTGTGTGACCCTAGCACTATATGATGACTGTTCTCTGCTTCTACTTCAGACAGCCCATGAATCTGGGAGTCCAGGCCCTTCTGCTTGTGTGACCAGTAAAGTTTTATTGGCACTCAGACATGCTCATTGATTTTATACCAGGGATGCAGGGTGGAGCACTAGAAGAGACCCATCAAAATGAAACATCTCAGCATATGGCCAGCCCTAGCTCTAATGCATTAGCTATGTTTGCAACTGTGTGTGTATGTTTGTGTGGTGCATGCACGCTCATGTGTGCATACATGTTCTAACTTGGCCCTTTCTTTTTTTTTTTTTTTTGGATTTTTCGAGACAGGGTTTCTCCATGGCTTTTGGTTCCTGTCCTGGAACTAGCTCTTCTAGACCAGGCTGGCCTCGAACTCACAGAGATCTGCCTGCCTCTGCCTCCCGAGTGCTGGGATTAAAGGCATGCGCCACCACCGCCTGGCTAACTTGGCCCTTTCAGTCAGGGGTTACAAACTGAGTCTATGAGCCTTTTGGCAGCCCCTGGATAGGTTTTTAGATGCCCCCAAACCCCCCAGGAATAAAGTATAATTATTACTGACTTGTTTTTGAATTAAAATAGTAATTCATGAATTGGCAGGATGACTCACTCAGCGGGTAAAACTGCTTGCTGCATGAGCGTGACAACCAGAGTTTAATTTCTGGAAATGATGTTAAGAAAGTAAAAACAAAAAGCCAGACATGGTGGTAAACACCACTAATTCCAGTGCTCCCAAAGAGAGACAGGCAGTAGAGAAAAGGGAATAGCCTGGAAGTTTGTGGAGTCTGCAGCATGGCGGGAGCAATAGGAGAGGTCCTGCCTCGGTGAGGAGGGAGGACAGAGCTGACGCCAAAAACTTGCCCTCTGATCTCCACACGTATATATGTGCACATCATATAGTCATCTATATATACACCATAATAACAAATAAAAACTGAAGAACAGAACTGAGCCACATTATTTTAAAAAAGAAATGTACAAAGTCCAGAATTATGGTAATAAATATCACAAAAAATAAAATAGTCTTGAAAAAAATCCATCACTGAGTATACATGACTAGATTTTTCAGCTGCGAAATGTTATAAATGGGGATGGGGAGGTGGCTCAGTGGCTACAAGTGCTGGATCCAGCAGCATCTATAATCCCAGCACTTCGATAAGGGGATGGCAGGAAGGGACAGGAAGGGACAGGAAACTCCCTGGAAGCTCAGGGGTTAACTAGTGTGGAGCATGCCGTGGAAAAACAAGAGATTGCTTCAAAGTGGAAAACAAAGCCCAACATCTAATGTTATTCTCCATCCTCTACACATACACTGTGGCATGTGTGTGCCTGTATTTACACACATGCACATTACACACACATACACTGTTTTTAAATAAGAAACTTATGGGACTGGAGAGATGGCTCAGCAGTTGTGGGTGCACACTGCTCTTGCAGGGGATCCGAGTTTGGTTTCTAGCACCCATGTTGGGTAGCTCATAACCATTCAAATCTCCAGCTCCAGCAAATCTGGTGCCCTCTTCTGGCCTCCACAGGAACCTGCACTCATGGGCACATACCCCAACGCATATGCACACATACACACAATGTTCTTCTGGCCATATGCTACAAAACTTTCAGTAGAGTTGTATAGGAGCCCAAGATTTCACAAAGACAATAAGAAGCACCAGCCAAGAGCTAGGGCCTGGGAGGAGAGCTGGGCACAGGCTCTCGTCTCATTGCTCTCTCCCTGGCACACGTCTCAGAACTCTGCACACAATAGATGCTCCAAGTTGGGAGAGTGGAGGATCCAGGCAACAAAGATGAATTATGGTAGCAGCAGCTGTCACTCGCTGAGCCTTTATCTGAGCCTGACACTGTGCCAGGCTCTTTGCATGTATTTTCTTATCTCCCCCTCATCCTCTCAGGAGCTGGGGGACAGAACTTCAGCTCCATGAAGTCAAGCACTCAGGCCAAGGCCGTGTATCTCGGGGGCCCCCAGGTCTTTCAGGTTTGAGCACAGGTGTGATTCTTTTTCTTCTTAATTTTTAAAAGGTACTTATTATTTTTAATTACGTGTAGGTGAATGCATCCAAATATGGCACGTGCCTGCAGGTGCCAGAGGTATTGTATTCCTTGGACTGGAGTTACAGACAGTTGTGAGTCACCTGATGTGGGAACTTGAAACTGAACTCCTGGATGTCTGGAGGAGCAGCAAGTGCTCCTAACTGCGGAGACATCTCTCCAGTCCCAAGATTGATTCTCTTATACTTATGGGACTGGGGATTGAACCCAGGGCCTTGTGTCCCGTGTACATGCTCAGCAAATGCTCTACCACAGAGCTATAGATGCCCAGACCTCAAGGATGGCTCTGTTTTACTAAAAACATTATTTTATAGGTGTGAGTGTTTTGTGCCTTCATGTTAAGTTTGTGCACCCCACGGATGCAGTGCCAATGGAAGCCAGAAGAGGCCGTTGGATCCCTGGAACTGGAGTTACAGTGTGAGCTGCTATGTGGGTACTGCACAACCTGAGCCCCCGCAAGGGCAGCTGGTGCTCTTAACCGCTAAGCCACTGCTCCAGCCTCCAGGATAGTTCTTTGTCACGATTCTCACTCCTGCTGGCCCTGGCACAGGCTCCCCTAACCTGGCATATGAGACGCATCTCCTTCCTTCCAAGTCAGCCTCCTCAGAGCCAGGAGAAGCCCTTTTTTTGCTCAGACTCAATACCATGGGTCATGGGACCTGGCTTTCAGCTTCTTGAGTTTTAACACAACTCCCGGAGATCCTTTCTGACAGGCCAGCTGGGCAGGGAGGGCAGGAATGAGGTCACTCCAGGAGCAAAGGAGACTCTCAGTAAATGTCAGCACCTTTATGGGCAGCAGCCAGAGGCCATCCCAGCCTTAGCGGGGAGCATGTCAGGATTGTGAGGTTGGGGGGGGGGGGCGGAGACAGGAGGACAAAGCACCTCTGCTTGGCACTGCCTCACTCAGCCCTCTGCTCAGGTTTGGATAATGTCTGTTCCTTAGCAGGTCTATATGTATGAGGTTTAGTTCTCAGCATGGCATGAGAGGTGGTGGGCCCTTTAAGAGACAAGTTACCAGAGCACAACCCTGGGGAGAAATGGAGGCAGGTTTGTGGGGCCAGGGAGACTAGTTAGATCTTCCAAGAGATTAAAGAACAAACCCAGTCCTCCTACTGGTCTTTCTTTGTGGCTTCTCCCTGTTACACAGGCTCCTGCCACTAAACCCTCCACCAGGGCCTTCAGCAGAACAATGGATTGAGAGCTTGATTAACTTCCTTTCTTTACACCTGATGCAGCCTCGGGTGTTTTGTGACAGCAGCAGACAGCAGACTGAAGACACTAGCTAATACAGATCCTTTCCTAGGGGCTCCAGGCACAGCTCAGCCCTTCTTGCTTCTGAGGTCATGCTGTTCTTACCCCCTCAAGGCACCTCCTCTTCCTCCCTGAGACCATATCAAACGCCATCTCCTCTGTGAAACCTGACTGGACTTCTCCAGAAGCAGTTGTGGCCTTCCTTAGGTACCACAGCCCCTTTTCCACTGTCAATCTATGACCCCAGTGTCTGTGACCTTTCTGTCCTGATCCACAACTTCCAAACACCCATGCCCACAGCTCCCTGCATCCCCTTTCTGGAACTCTCTGGTGCCTGTGGCATTTTACCATTTCCCCTCTCCGCCAAGAAGGCAGAGGCAATTCTGTCATGTTCCAGCTCAATTCCCAGGACTGGTATACAGCAGGCACTCAACGAATGCTTATGGTAAAATCCCAGTGATTCATTTATGAACCTTCTTCTCATTTAGGGTCATGAACACCTTTGAGAATCTGGTGAAAGCCACACACAGTTCTGCCCCTTGGAGAAGGATTCCCACGGCTGTGTACACTCCCATATTCCACATGCAATACTGGAGTTCACAGGCCATGGCAAGCTCCCACGGTCTAATCCCAGGTCAGAAGCCCTTGCTGTAGTGTGTTTGCTTGACCATGAGTGTGAAGGCGGTATACAGCAGATACTTAATAGACACTTGCTGCATACACATTCAGTGTACATTTATTGGGTATGAATCTGTTCTATAAAGTTGGCAGTTTAAAACCCAGTCATCCCTTTGAATGATCCTGCCAGGTAAAATACTATCAGCGTTAGTATCTGCCTGTGTCTGACTTACAAAAATAGCAACTTCAGCCAGGCAGCAGTGGCCCATGCCTTTGATGTGCAGACACCAGAGGACAACCTTGATTGTCATTTCTCAAGAACCACGCACCTTGGGTTTTCTGAGACTGAGTTCCTCACTGGAACGTGCAGGTTAGGCTAGGCTGGCTGGCCAGTGAGCTCCAGAAATCCACCTATCCCCCTTCCCCCCGCAAGTGCTGGGATTACAATCGGGTACCACCATGCTTGGCTCTTTTCCCTCACAGGTTCTGGGGATCAAATCAGGTTCTCATGTCTCATTACACGTACTTAGTGATCCATTTCCATAGCCCCGGAGAAATTTTCTAAAGGACTTAGCAGAGCATTTGGCAAACAGAAAGCAACAAATAATTGTTGCCTCATGTAAAGTAGACTTGGCTTTTATTAAATGTTACTATTATAAGGACACTATTATTATGCTAAGATCCACGGATTCATCCGAAGGACCCATCACTCTTTTTATGGTCTATAGAAGTATACCAAGACTTAGAGAGGCTCAGTGTTTTTCCCCAGGTCAACCAGCTGGCCAGTGGCACAGCAGAGATAAGAAATAATATTAGCCCCTCTGGTTCCACATCCAGACACCCCAGAAATTGGTACCCACTCAGCACATGCTGATGGCTGGGAAATCTGAGTTTGCATTGGTGACCCCGAGCCAGTCACACATTTCTGCCTCTCCACATTCTCCTCCATCTTGGATGTGTAGGGCTGTGCGGGTAGGACACGGGATCCGGGACACATCCTGCATAGTTCTGAGAATTCAGAGCAGGGAACAAAAACTCAGTATTAAAGAATATTGATCTCTGAACAAATCCTGGGGTCTATTTTAAAATTTTCAAGCCAGGTGGTGGTGGCGCACGCCTTTAATCCCAGCACTCAGGAGGCAGAGGCAGGCCGATCTCTGTGAGTTCAAGACCAGCCTGGTCTACAGAGTGACTTCCAGGACAGTCAACAGCCAACAGCCTTTGCTGAGACTGTAACAGACAGTCAGTCCCCAGCTCGGAACTTGCTGGAGCTTCCCACTTCACTTAGAGGAAAAGCCAAAGGTCTACATGATTGACAATCACTCTCACCCCCCATTCCTGGCCCCATTCCATTCTAGCCAAGCCTGCTTTACCTACAAGCTTCTGGCTAACCCCCTGCCCTGCAGTGTTCTCACTGGCTATCCCCCTGGCCTGCGGCGTTCTCACTGGCTAGTTCCCCGGCCTGTTATGCTCTTCCCTGGAGATAGCTGAGCAGCCCATTCTCCTAATCCCTTTGTGTCTTTGTTCAAATGAAACACCATCAATAAGGCCCTCGCTTACCCCCCCACTTAAGCCCATACACACCCCCCAGCTCTGGGTCCCTCTCCCCACATAGCTCACTCATGTGTGGTACCACTATGTACTGGTGACCTGTTAGTGCCAGGAAGACATGTTTAGATCTGGAGAAGACCTGCTACATCTGCAGGGAGACCAGGCAAGAGTTAGGACAGTGTCTGGTAAGATGGGTGGTACTGGCTCAGGTGAGGGCTAAGGTCAGAATGGATGGAGTAAGGGAAAGATGGCGGTGGTGCATGATGGGGTCCTCACAGGAAGTGCACATGGAACAGCAGCTGCCAGAGCCAAAAAGTCAGAGGCAGCCTGGCACACCCAGGACCTCCTTGGCCTTCGAGAGGGGCAGGAGAGATGACGCAGGGGTAAGAGGACTGGAGTTCGGATCCCAGCACCCATGTAACAAGCCAGGCGTCCCACAAGCACCTGTCACTCTAGTTCCAGGGGATGTGATGTCCTCTGTGTACATCCCACAGACACCCCACCCCTCCATGGCTCATACGCGCACACAGACGCATATACTCAGGCACACACACACACGTATTTAAACATGAGTAAATCTTGAAGGAGAAGAATGAGGAGGGCGGGGGGCAGCAGCAGCTGGCGGGGTCTCCATGGAAATGGCAGAGGAGGGCCCCAGGGCGGGTACGTACTGTGGCCGCTGGTGTAGTGCTGCAGCTTGTCGGTGTACTCTGAGTCGGCGCGCTCAAACCCCCGTCTTCTGGAACAAGAGCAAAGGGCTGGAGCCACCTGGAGGCACCCGGGGGGGTGGGAGCCACAGTGGGTGATAGGGAGAGAGGGTGGGCAAGCCTTTAAGGCCACTTCCTTGCTGGAGGTGGTGGTGTTTAGGCCTGTCCTTTGTCTGCCTTTACCTCATCCCTCTTCCCCTTCCCATTTCTCCCTCCTCAGACCCGGGCTCACTCTGTGTCCCGTCCCCCCCCTCCCCCCTTACTGCAGCCAAGTCCCTTTAAGGCAGACGCGAAGTCCTCAGATTCTCGTTGTGTCTTCTGACCCCACTAAAACCAGGAGCTCTGTCTGTCTGTCTGTCTGAGCTTACTCTGGCCCTCAGTTGGGAAGTGGGGTTAGGGGAAGCTCTTTAGGCAGGAAGCATCTTGGCATCGTGTCCTATGGCCATCAGGGACTGGCTCCTCCCTCCTGTCTCTGCCTTGCCACCCCCACCCGTGCCCAGCCCCTCCATCTTTTCAGCACTTCAGCCTCTGCCTGGGATAATGAATGGCATCTTCCTTCACCATCCCCACAGCTCCAAGCTTCCTGCCAGCATCTTGCCCACTGTTCTGAAATGGTCCTCACTGCTGAAGTGCCTCCGTGTGCAACCCTGTCCGTGTACTTGTCTGGACATCAGCTGATGCTATTGTATGGATGGTCAGCAGTCACCTAAGGTATCCTGGCCTACTGGAGCCTCTCCCTGCCACCAGTGGCTGACAGGAAGTCCCCATTTGCTCCCGACTATGGCTGAAGACCAGGCCCAGAAGCCACCACCCACCTGTTACATACGATGGCAATGACGACCACAGCGATGAGGAAGACTATGCCAGCAGCAGAGGAGCCGACGATGAGGGGCAGCTTCTCCTTGATGCTGGTCTGGTACTCGGCTGCAGGGACAGTGCAGTGGTTATTGCCTCCACCCTCCACCATGACGGTCTCTGAGGTCACCCCAAAGACTCCCCTCTTGCTTCCAACGCAGCAACTGCCTCATACTGAGCAGGAAATGAGACGTGAGAAGGAATAAGCCTACGACTGGCTTCAATCCTCTCTTCCTCATCTATAAAATGGGCATAGGGACCCCTGCACTCCTACACTGACATGGTAATAAGCAGGAATGGCTGGGACCCGGCTCCCTGGGCAGGAATCTTGACCGTGCTGGGCAAGCAGTCTACCAGCTGAGTAAGGGGGGACTGACAGTTCTCACCCCATAGGACTGTGGGTAAATCTATGACAATCCATGGTTCACAGTGAACACTCAGCCAGCTTGGACTCCTATTACTGTTTGCAGGGTCACTCACAGAGACGTCTGTAACAGCCCTGTGATACGCCCCCTACGGTGATCACTCACAGAGACGTCCATAACAGCCCTGTGATACGCTCCCTACAGTGGTCACTCACAGAGATGTCCATAACAGCCCTGTGATACGCTCCCTACAGTGGTCACTCACAGAGACGTCCATAACAGCCCTGTGATACGCTCCCTACAGTGGTCACTCACAGAGACGTCCATAACAGCCTTGTGATACGCTCCCTACAGTGGTCACTCACAGAGACGTCCATAACAGCCCTGTGATACTCTCCCTACAGTGGTCACTCACAGAGACGTCCATAACAGCCCTGTGATACGCTCCCTACAGTGGTCACTCACAGAGACGTCCATAACAGCCCTGTGATACGCTCCCTACAGTGGTCACTCACAGAGACGTCCATAACAGCCCTGTGATACGCTCCCTACAGTGGTCACTCACAGAGACGTCCATAACAGCCCTGTGATACGCTCCCTACAGTGGTCACTCACAGAGACGTCCATAACAGCCCTGTGATACACTCCCCTACAGTGGTCACTCACAGAGACATCCCTAACAGCCCTGTAATACGCTCCTTACAGTGGTTTCTTATGCTTGAGAAAACCAAGCTTGTGGAGGTCAGAACGGGCTTGAGGCTATCCAGGAAAGAAGAGGTCAAAGCCAGCATGTGAGCTCAGCTGCCGGCCCTGAGGCTGGGATGTGACTGACAGTACACAGATGCACTTGGCATCGGCTGGGCGGGTACCAGCTACCTCAGCACCCTCCTCCAGCACCCTCCTCCACGGTATTATTAAGAAGAGGAGTTGTCAAGGTCAGAGGGTGAGGTCATTTTGGGCTCTCAGTGCCTGCACACGGCCTGTTATACAGCAGGAACAGAATTGTAGAGTTAATAAAGGGGTCTTGGGACGGTGCCCGGTGCCTTGCCAGTGAGCTCATCTGATACGGAGGGGCCGCTGGTGAGGAAAGGGCAGAGGGCAGAGGAGGCAAGTGTTGGAAGACAGGTGAACATACAGGGAAGGCTCTACAGCAGGACAGGAAGTTAGGGTCATCCAAGAGCCTCTGAACGGTTTAGCCAGATGAGAGCCAATGCCCATGTTCCAAGGCTGGAAGCTAAGACATGACACTGAAATCTAACCATAAGAATGTGTCCTAGAACTTGGTTGGCTGGTGACAGGCCCATGGAAAGAATACTATTCTTAATATCTGTGTCCTCAAACCAATTCTGAGCTAGGTCCCCGAGACTTATATATGTTTGATGTTCTTGATGATGATGGTAACAGTTATCATCTCTTATGGAAGAAAGGACAGGGCCAGGAGAGATTAGGGGACTTGTTTTCAGCTACACAGTTAGGGACAAGCCAGAAGTGGGCTCCAATCTGTCTTGCTTCAGAAGTCTACCCCTTTATAATCTACTATTCCTCAAGATTATTAAAGCAGAAAAGGTATTCAGAAATCATATATTCCAAGACTGGAAAACAAACATAGCACATAGACCCATTCCTTTGTCCAGGGCAGACATTACTAATTGATCCCAGCACTTCTTTCTGTTGAGCTTAGATGGGGTTTTGGAATTCTCAGTCTCATTGCAACTTGCTGGAACTGGAAATGGGCACGAAGTTTACTATCTCAAAAAGCACAATGCTCTTTTGTTTTGTAGATAAAAATCCAGAGCAGGGAAAGAAAAGAATTTAATTAGCATGGGTTTGCAAAGTAGGTCTGACCTCTTAAATGTCCCAGAAGATGAAAGAGTCTTGCTCATTTGTGGTAATAGAGAAGTAGGGACCTTTGTGGGCCACAGAACTGCAGGCTCTAAGGCTAGCCATGCAGTTTGTGCCATGTAGAGAGGTTCACATTTGGGAGTGAGGGAGTGGCTGCTTTCTGGTTGGCACAGGCTTCCTAGGAATGGAGTCTCACATTTGTGCCTTTGTTCACTGATTGGGGGGCTGGTGCTTGGTGCTCTCGACTCACCTTCTGTCATGGTTTGGAAGTACATCTTGCCGCTGTAGCGCCCATAGCCTGCAACGGTGCGTGCCCGCACCTGGAAGACATAGATGGCGCCGGCTTTGAGGCCCTGCACGGTGACTGTGTTGGTGGGGCTTTTTATGGCTGTGGCGTTGTACTCACTGAGCTCCTGCTGGGGAACAGAAAAGACGGTTAAAGAGAGCAGGAGCGCAAGGAGCCTACCGTCTTCTGCTGCTCCTTGGGGCAGGCCCTCTCCGGTGGTAGGTTTACCCATCATGCCTGTGCTGAGTAACTCAAGAATGCTTCCCATGGGGAGCAGAGAAACATATATAGCTCAAAAAAACTATTAAAAACTAAAATAAATGAGTTAAGAAAGAATGCTTCTCATGGAAGCAGTCGTATGATCTTTCTGTCTTGGATCTGGACAGGTGACCTGCTTTGGCCATGTGAACACTCTAGTAGGCATGGAATGAGCATGGTGCAGACTTTGCATGTGTCTGATGGTCTGGCTCGGCTTCCATGATTCCACCATCTGCCAGAAGAGGGGCTTGAACCAGGTTCCAGAACCAGAGAATTGTAGCTGGTTCCAGAACAAAAGGTGTGTGAAGACCCTGACCCAACGAGGGCCATTTAACTCACAGATGCAAAGCTATGAGGAAGAAAAGTAGCCACCTCTTACTGTATGCCATGGTGTTTGTGGGACTGCTTGTTTTGTAGCATTATCCCAGCAAGAGCTGACTAATACACATAGGCTGAGTGGCCACTATGCACAAACTCTAAAGACTAGACTAAGTTCTTGAAAACTGCAGTGGGGAGACCCATTCATCACTTCTGCATCTGACTCTGCCCTGGGCCTTCTTGTTTGTTTTGTGACAGGGCCTCATGTAGCCCAGGCTAGCTTTGAGCTTGATATGTAGTAGAGGATAACTGACTTTGATCTTCCTACTTCAACCTCCCAAATGCTGGGTTTATGGGGGTGTGCCACCATGCCTGGTTTTCTGTGGGTTCTTTGTATTTCAGGCAGGCACTATAGCAGCTGATTCTCACCCCATAGCCCTCCATCCTGTGCCTTGATGGGTTTCCAGAAGATCCCCTGCTTGGTCTTAGCACCCTAGGGGGAGGTAAGAACCAAGGCTTGGAGAGGGACAGTGACATTCAAGTTCACACGTACTGGCTAGTGGCTGCTGTGGGGCTCCAAACGGGGTTCCACATGGAGACACTGGTAGTGCCCAGGACTTTGAGTACCACCATTCTGACTTCCTGGGTGTTGCCCCAGGCAACCTGAGAACAGGACATAGATCCAGCTGGGCGGTGGGATTGCAGATGTGGCAGGGCTAGACTCAAGTGGTGCACACTTACTTACACATCTGCCAGCTGCCTGACACACCTTCCCCAAGCACTTTCCTTATATGGGGGCTTGGCTGGGTGCTAGGGTCCCATAGGAGGCTGAGGGGTAATCCCCAGCCTCAGAGCTCCAACTAGAACAGATGCATGGGGACTCAGCCTCTCAAAGAAGGGGAAGCTGAAAGGCAATTCTGGATCTTGATCTAAGACAAAGACACCCGGCCACACAGGTGGATCATGTATGTGTCCCATATAATAGTGCCTGTTTTTGTTTTTGATTGTTTGTTTTAACACAGATGCTGGGAACTGAACTCAGGTCCACAAGCTTGCATGGCAAGCACTTTACCAAATGAACAGTCTCTCCAGCCCCCGTGTTGTAATATAACTATACCCTATGCTCTATTTGGGGGGGGGGGCTACATTAAAATTTCCTTCATTCAAATTTAATCTTGAACCCCATATTTTTATTTATTTCTGTGGATGGGGCCCAGAGCCTCAGACAGGCTAAGAGAATGTTCTACCACCAAGACGTACACCCCCTACTGGGTTTTATCAGGTGACCCCCCCCCACTTCCTTGGACACTAGGCTTTTGATCAGATTCCCCAGTCTCAAGTGTTCTTTCTTCCTCCATCCAGTTGCTCCCAGCTCAGCATTCAAGGCTCAGCACAAATGCTAACTCTGATGGGGACCTTTTGGATGTCCCAGAAGGAAGTAGTGGGTGCAAAAAACCTCTTCTATTGTTCTGATGCATGTGCCTATCTTCTCTGAGCATGTGGGTTTCCCGAAGGCAAGGGCCACACAGTTTATCTCTAGATTCCCCTCTCAGTACAAAGTAGGCGCTCCTTATGGCTATGCACAGCCAACCTAGGACACAATTCCACAACCGACCAGTAGGTGCCGCTGTGCAACATGTTATCTGCTCCAGCACAAAGGTTGGAGTTCACATTCTGGGTGGGCGCCACTTTAGGGACGCTTGGGGTTTGAATTCCTGACAATAGGAGGACAAGAGATGTAATCTTGGTGTCATAGGTTCCCCCAGGGGGCAGGCAGTAAGACTGCATCCCTAAAGCCAGGCACAGGATTGAGATGGTACCAGATGCTGTTTTAAATACCAAGTTTCTCCTCTGTTTAGTTACAGTGACTCCTCAGGATGAACCCTTTGCTTCCCTGAGGCTTGGTGTACCAATCCAGAAAATGGAGCAATACATACCAAGCCTATAGAATAGATCAGGAAGCACATGGCTCATGGACTGGTCTAGCCTTGTCTCTGCAGCACCATTGGCTGGGTATTACCGGGTGATGGGAGAAATGCAGGAAAGCCTACCAGGGCCACTAGATAGAACCAGACCCCAGCCAGCCAGCCTGCTTGCTTCTTTCCTCCCTCCCTTTCCATTTGTTGAGCCAGACTCACACAGCCCAGGCTGGGCTCACTACACATCTGAGAATGTGACCTCGAACTCCTGATCCCTCTGCCTCTACCGCCAGAGTGTTGGGATTACAGGCATGCGCCGCCACCGTGGCTGCTTTTCTGCAGCCTTGGCCTTCTCATTTGTGAAGGAAGGTAACAGCAGTGGGTTAACCTTCTTGTGACTGTGGAGATCCCACGGAATACGACTAGAGCTTTTAGCACACAGATACGGTCACTATGCACAGTAACTCTGTAAATGTCAGCTCTCAAGGCCACTGTCGTCAACGCTGCCCTTAGCGAGCATATCCTTGCTGACGTTCACAAAACAGGTAAAGGAAGGCTGAGATGAGTGATGCTCAGACTCCCCTGGACAGATCCTGTTCCATTTCACCAAACCCAGCTGGACAGTTCATCCTGTCCTCCGTCCTTGTTCACTGTCTGGAGTGCTCGCCTCTCTCAGCTACTGACTGGACATTTCTGCTGATTGACATTGACACAGATGTCAGGGCCCCTGCATCGTCTAGTGATTCTGCTCCCAGCTGTGGAGAGCATGAACTCATGGGCTCTGGGAAGCTGCTAAAGGAGGCCACCTCCCCAGGGACACTGGACGGATGGAAAGGCGTGGTCTGCAGTGAGCCTGCTGCCCATTTACCCAGCAGCCTCAGGCAATGGGAAGGCAGCAGGTCCCAGCGGACCAGGGGAAATGCCAAGCTAAAGAGACCTGAGAGTTACTGTCATTCCTAAAGGGCCTTTCTGGAGACAGAGGAGTGGGGAAGGTAGGGGTGGCCCTCTGGTGGGGGGAGGCCCAGTGTTTGTTCTACAAAGTTCTGGAGCCTTCCAGAAAGGAACAGACTGTGGGCACAGGGCAGACCCTAGATGCCACAGCTTGCCAAATATCCATCTCACTATTGCAACCTGGCCGCCCTTCCCAGGTGACGCTAGAAGGCTGGACATCAGAGAAGAAGCTGACCTTGCTGCCCTGATACCACCATGAGTTACTCCTGCCTCCCCTTGGGTCCTGAATGATTCCAGGCTGCACCCTCTGCTTCTACTGACCCTGGCACATACTTCAGGGTATCCTAAGCCTCCTTGGCAAGTGCCACACCTACAACTGCAAATCCCCTGCCCCTGGAACCAGCACTATCCCCAGGGCCATCCTGTCATGTCCCTGGGGACCTGGGCATTGATTCAAATGTCTAAACCTGCCATCTCTCACCGACTCTGCTGCCAGCCTTCTCCCAACTCAAGCAGTCACTGTTTCTCACTTGGTGTCTCAAACGTCTCTGAGCCCCCCTCCCCCAGGCTATTCTATTCTCCACACAGTGGATGGATAGATCTTTAACACAACCGGAGTCAGATCCCAGCATTCCAGAATCTTCTATCACACCCTAAATCAAATCCAGACTCACCAGGCCTGGAAGGCTGGACACGCCCCAGCCAGCCTCCCTTTCCAAATGCTCCCCTGTGGCGTGCCCTCTCTCGAGCCCTGTTGTTCTTGTTGAGATCTGAGATCATTTCTCTGTTCTCCTAAAGCAGCTGCTCGGCTCTGCCCCAGGGCCTTTGAGCCTGCTGCGCCCGCTGTCTGAATAACTGCCTTCATCACGCATCCCTCTGTGAGATTCTCTCAGCTTTCAAGCCTCAGTTCAAATGTCCAGGATACAGGCCTCCCTCACTCATGCCAAGACTGTGAGCCACTCTCAGAGACCTCTCACCCCCGAGACCTTTGCCGGCCCTTCTGAGGCGGACACCGCACGTGAATATTAGTGTCTCAGCCTTTGTTCTTTCCCAGACGGCGAAGTCCTCTGCAGCCAGAATCAGTTGGTGACGGTGGAAGTCAAATGGCCCAGTGGCTGGCCTTTGGTGGCACATACACCCCAGGCTCTGAGAAGAGAGGCTAACAGAAAGGGACCTGGGCCTATCTGCATGTCGCTGGTCACCTCAGAAATGACCTTGGGAGAAAACTGGGAGCACCAGGGAGACTGGGAAAGAGAGATGGAAGCCAAATCCTTTCTCTGCCACTCAGCATGGAGTGTTGACAGGCCATCGTGTCTCTGTGCCTCGGTTTCTCCTTCCTTTAGGGCCTGAGGATGACTGTGGTGATGGTTTGGTGTACCCTGCACACAGCGAGGACTATGAGAAGTGGGTAGGTGGCCACTTGGCGGCTGTGGAGCCATCCAGCCCCCAAGAAAGTAGAGCAGTAGTACCCCATCTCACACCGCTGCCAGGCTCCCAGGCGTGCCTGTTGCGATAGCAAATGGGTCGCAGTCGGGACTGCACTGGGATTCCTCATTTCCGCTCTGATCTTTGGGGAAAAATACTTTCAGTTTCATTTAATCACAAAGCTTCTTAATTAGCTTCCCCCCCCCCCCTTTTTCTTTCTTTTCTTTAAAAAAAAAATTTAGTTGCTAAGTTGCCCTGCTGGAGGGAGCAGAGACACTGGTCCTTGCAAGGCCAAGCTTCCTGGCCCAGTTCCCCAGGCTGGCAGCCCCTTCAAAGTACTTCAGGACTCAGTGAGATGCAGGACTGCTTTACTCAGTAGAGACACTCAGGGCCATCAGTGGCCCCTTCCCCAACATATCCAACAGGCACCCACGGAGGACTTACTGACACCCACGGAGCACCTACTGTGTGCTAGGCGGTGGGATGCAGCACAGCTAAAGTCTCACCCTCGCTGAGTTCACTAGGTGCTCAGTGCTATCAGTAGGGGGCGAAGAGAAGGTGAAATGTTGGCCCTGGCGAAGGCTTCCTGGAGAAGGTCAAGACGTTTGTGCTGAGACACCAGAGGATGAACTGGGGCTGGTCAGGATGGCGAGGGGCAGGAAGTGACTGGCCCAAGCAGCCAGCCTGCCTCTGGTTCTTGTTTCATTCAGATTCCATCCCTCACTCTCTGCTTCATCCACACAATGCTCTCATTCATCATCCACACCCTCGGGAGACCAGGGCCCTTGCTGCCAGCATGCGGGCTTTCCAGAGAAGAGGCAAAGACTGTGGGAAGATGGTTGCTGATGGTAGCGATGGTGGTGCTTCTGTGGTACCTCCAAAGATGTTGACAGGCAGATATGAGAGACCAGAGGGGGAAGGATGTGACGGAGAGGTCAGAAGCTGGGGTGTAGGGGAGAGGTGGGAATCGGGTGTGCAGGTCTCTCTGGGGGAGACAGCTGGTTGCAGTGACTGGGCATGATGACGATGGGTTCATACTTCACCAACCCATCTATCTGTCTCTCGGCTTCTGGTTCAGGGCTCTGGGGAGAAGGTGATGGCCACAGAGAGGAGGCCCTGACCTCCTGGACATACAAAGAAGTCAGTGACTAGGAGCACTTGAATGAGAGGCCAGGCTAGTGTGTGACAGAAGATATCAGTTACTCCAGAAGCTGATGGGGTGCTAGGGCTAGGTGAGGTCTCAGAAAGTGGGCTCCAGTGGACTCAACTGTCACTGTCTCCAGCTGTCTTCTCTGAGCCTTGATGGTACAACTCCCCATCCACTTCTTGCTCCCTGTAGGCTCACCCTCAACGAAGGACTTCCTATCAGTCACTGACACCTGTGTCTGAACAGAAGTCTACGTCTCCTATGTCTCCTTTCCCTGGGGTCCTTGTGGTCTCTCCGCATACAAGGAAGAGAGGTTACCAGTCAAAGGAGCAGGCACGGGGCCTCTGGTGTTTATCTGTATGGGAGGCCAACCGTTATGTCCACTCTTTGAGCCCTGTAGTGTGTGGCCCCCACACTCTCTGGTCCCATGTGGTACTGCCCTGAAGTATTAGGCCACCCTGTAGGAGGCAGAGCAGGGGAGCAGGGAGGCCAGGGATGTGCCTGGCGCTGGTTCCTGCCTCCTCTCTTTCTCCTCATGGTCTCTGTGGAGTGCCAGACTTCTCTCCGACCCATCCATGTGGAAATGGAAGCTCAGAGGAGAAAGGACACCTGCCTGAGATTTGAATGGGTTCTGGCTGATTAGTCTTCCGTGCATGCGTGGCTTCCAGCCACAGGTCCCTGAAACAGGAGCAAGGTCTGTTCTAAAGGATCAGGGAGAGATCTCCCCATGCAGCCAGCCCAAGGTGCCTAGGTGCAGACAGCACCACAGCAGACCCAGAGTAGCTTTCTTCTCTCAGCCTTTAGGAAGAACCCTCTTGTCTGCTGTCGGCTCACTGTGGGTGCACCCTCAACTGTGGACCTCCTATTTATCACTGATATCTTAGTTTGAACGGGAGTCCATCTTTTCCAGAAGCCCCTGTAGTCCCTAGGGGTACACTCCTACACAGGCGCTTTTAGTAGGTGAAGACCAGTTATTATCACTAAGTACAGTTTTTTTGTTATTGTTTTTTTGTTTTGTTTTGTTTTAACAACAGTTTATCACAACCTCAGGATCTCTGAAGTCAAGTCCAAAGAGGTCTTGATAGCAAAAGGATCCAGTGTGGCATGTCATTCAGATAGTTTGCTGGTCCCCTGGACCAGAACAGTGAGACTCAGAGAGGTCAAGGCACCTGCCCAAGACTTCACAGCAGGGGCAGTAGAGGCAATAAAGAGCCAGGCAGCCTGATCCCGAGGCTGGCGGGAGCTGGACCTCTAGGCTGACATTGGGAGAGGAACTCTTGGGGAGTCGGGGCAGGTGGGGACACGGATACCTTCTCGTAATATTGTAGTTCATAATCCAGGATCACACCGTTGGGCTGGTCTGGCTGGGACCACGACAGGGTGATGCTGTCCACGGTGCGGCTCACCTGATGCATGATGGACACGGCCGACGGTGCTGTAAGAGAGGTCAGAGGTCAGGGGTCAAAATAGGCACGAGGAAGTGTGGCTTACCGGAGAAGGGCCTGGGTAGATAGGGAACTGTGAGACCAGTGAGAAGGGGGGTGGGGGGCAGAAAGCAGGGTGGTGGGGGTCAGGGACCAGAGAAAGGACCAATAGGGGGTGCTGGACTGTGGTAGGAGCTGGGGTTTCTCTCAGGGCGATGACAGCGTGCCAGAACTAGAGGCGGTACAGGAAACACACTACCTACCAATGTGTCATACATGTTGAGCCAGTCAGGGGTCTGCCACAAGAACCTTACCCTCAACCAAGTCCATCAAATAGTCAATCTACGAACCCCAGCCCACCAGCAATCTGTGTGTTCTCAGCAAGGGGGTAGAGAGGGGGTTGTGGAGTGGGCTGTGCTCAGTGCTGGAAGTGCTGCCACAAATTATTTAGTCCCGTTTCTTTGTTTTGTATGCATGGAAACGAAGACGTCAAGAAAGCCAGGCGCCGAGCCCACGTCAATGCCATTCTCTGATCCTTTCCTTCTCAGCACTCTAGCTTGGTTCTTGCCCCTTCCACCAGGGCACGCTGCACCTGCAGTGTGTCACAGTGACCCTGTGGAAGGGGGTACATAGTAGTAGGGACCAGAGCAGGAGATCTTCAGAGCCCTGCTCTTACTAGAGGGGGCCCATCCACGCCTGGGTTCCAAAGTGCCTCTCTGGCCTGGGTTTGTGGTCCCACAGGGGACTGAGGTCTCACAGGGCAGAGGAAATGTCTCCTAACCTCTTTCCTGGCGCTGTGATGGGCAGATTTCCCATCCAGGCCAACAAAGAGATTTTTGACCACTGATGCTAACACTTCTCCCAGGTTCTATTTTGCTTCCCGGGGCTTTGGCTGTACTGGGCATCAGCCGGGCTTAGTCCTTTGGGAGCTCAGGGGCCTCTGACTTTGGAGCTGACTTAACTATTTCCATTCTGCCTCGTCTCCCCCAGACTGTCCTCTGTCCTCTGGCCAGGCTGCTCCAGCACTCTGCCTGTTTCCCCAGACCCCTCAGCCAAGAGGCCAGTGTGACTGAGTCCCGAGTACGGACTCCTGTTCTGCTCACTCCCTGACCACTCGCTGATCTGTGGCCTGGGCAGGGTCTTTCACCTCTAGGAGCCTCAGCTTCCACACCCCTGTCGTATGCAGTAGGGTCACTGTAAATATGGAGGGGAGGCGTGTGTGAAGGCTGAGCAGGTAAGAAGAACTGGGAATGCTAGGATCCTTCCAGAGGGAAGCCTCTCCACCCGGCCAGTCAGAGCCACACAGACTCATGGGAGAAAATGTGCTTCTTTCTGCCCGGTGAGCTCCCCTGCCCCTGTCCCCTAGGCCAGCACCACACGAAGTTCTGTAAAAAGGAACCAGAGAATCCAGACTGGAGCCAGGGCCCCCGGATGTTGCTTCTGGAACGTCCAGTTTACTCCTGACTGCAAGGCTGAGTGGGTAGAATGGGTCCTGTTGCTTACCCCTCTTTCTAGCTTGTGCCAGTGTAACGGGGGTCCTGGCTACGCCTCACACTGCCTACCCACCACCGGATGTTGACCTTGCAAACCTTCGAACCCAGACTCCTAAGCCGCTGCCAGGTGAAGCTGACTTTGCTGGGAAACAGAGCTTGCTCAGAGAGGAGAAGTGGTCTGCCCAAGGTCACACAGCAGGAGGCGGGTTCCTAGCAGCTGAGCCCTGGAGGGACACGTGGTCCGGTCATCAGGTCACCTTTCACAGACCACGCCCAGGCCACACTCTCTCCACAGTCCCTTTAGCTGCAAGTTACAGAGTGTCCTCTCTAGAGGGGTGGGAACCATGTCGCTGAAGCACGTGGGCCCGGCCTTCGGAGTCTGGCCTTGTCCTGAAGGCCCTGGGGTGTGATTGCCTGCTCCTCTGCCCACCCAGCTCACTTTCTTGGGGACCCTGTGAGCCCAGGATGCCCACCCAGACGAGGTCCTGGTTACCCACACCCACACGGTCATTTTTCATCCGCTAACTCAGTTAGTACACATGTCATCTGTGAGTTGGGCATTATTATACCCACTCATCAGAGGAGGAAATGAAGTCGGGAGGTGGGGGGCGGGTGAAGAAACATGCCCAAGGACACGCATAGCAAGCAATGGACCCCAGATTCCTCCCTCCAGTAAGACAGGCAGACGAGGGAAGCCTGCGAGGGCTTGTGAGGACACCTTATGCTCCAGACTGTAGACTCGAAGCCAATCTGCCCCCCTCCAGGCATGGCGGGTACCACAGGCTTGAGGGGTCTGGGTCGCAGCAGTCTTGGGTTTCAGGCAGATCCTGGGCTCTGAGCCCCTAAGCCCCGTGACCCAGGCATGGAGAGGAGGCGGCATCTGCCGGGAAGATGATCAAGGCAGGCCAGGGGGCTGGCCTCTCTCTCGGAATCCAAGGATTAGAAGTGAGAAAAGGGACAGGCTGGAAGCTGTCCGGGGCCCCTCCTGCTGCCGCGCCCACCCTGGGTCGGGTTACCCTGGAAGTTGGACATCAGGGAATTCTGGTATTTTCAATTATCAGCCGGGCATGCCAGCAGGCTATGGGGTCAGCGGTGCCCTGTGACCCTTGCCAGGAGATGGAGCCCCAGGGGGCAGAACACAGAAGAGGCCCGTGGCCTGAGGGGGTGGGGGAAGTCGGTCAGCCAGCTCTCCTGCAGCAGGTGGTCAGGGGGCCTGCTGGCCTCTAGCAAGACCTGGGAAGAGTGGGGAAAGCCATCGCTGGCAGGGGCTTAGGCCAGCTGAATTCTCTCTGTGAGTTATGTTTCTTCCCTAAGGCATGGTGGGGCTGATGAGGGATTTCTGAGGGCAGATGAGGAGATCCTACAAGGTGGTCCCCACAGACTAAGTGGAGGCCCAGCTTTATAGTCATAGGTCATAGAAACAGGAGGCAGGGATGCTGACTGGTCACGTCACACCTCACTTCCTGTGACTCAGGATCCCAGAGCGCTGAGAGTGAAGGAATCCATGACCAGGTGAGAAGAATCAGTGAGCTAAGGCACCACGGGGAGAGGTGGACACACACTGGCGGTCCGAGGCCCCACCCCAGACCCAGGTAGGCTTATAGTTCCTCTCAGAACCATCTGCTGCCCTTGTTCCCATGAATGGCCCCACAGATGTCCCACCCTGCCATGGAGGCCCTGCCTGGAACCTCCTCTTCCTCAATCCCCTCTTTCAGTACCATCCATTCTGTCTCTTCATGTTCTCAAATATACTGAGCTCCTTCCCTTCTGGGTCTTGGCTCCTGCCTTTTTGCCTGGAAACCTCTTCCCTTCTGTCCTCCCGAGGTCAGTGGCCCTCATCTTCATTCAGGTCTCCACCCAGATGTCATGGTTCAGAGACACCATGCCTGACTGTCTCTCTTCTCCGTCTGACACACATTCAGTCCTCTGCCACCAGTGCCTGGAACAGCGTGTGGCTCAGAGTAGGTGCTTCAAGGGTATTTATTGGTAGGAGTCAGCGAGGGAGGGAGGGAGGGAGGGAGGGAGGGAGGGAGGGAGGAAGGGAGGGAGGAGGCTGACTGCAGGCAAGCTATCACTCTCTCCACCCTTCTTCTCTCCTTTCCTTCGACACTTCCTGCTGCCTTCCCCAATAGTCAATCTCTCTGACATGAGCAAAATTCGAGTTCTTAGCTAAGCGCACTGTGCCCAATTAAAAGACTACCCAACCTCTCTCCTAGTCCGCGTGACCATGTGTGCTTGCCAGTGGATATAAGCTGAACTCTTTTTTTTTTTTTTTTTTTTTTTTTTTTTTGGTTTTTCGAGACAGGGTTTCTCTGTGGCTTTGGAGCCTGTCCTGGAACTAGCTCTGTAGACCAGGCTGGTCTCGAACTCACAGAGATCCGCCTGCCTCTGCCTCCCGAGTGCTGGGATTAAAGGCGTGCGCCACCAACGCCCGGCATAAGCTGAACTCTTACACAAAACCCGAAGGAAGTCACTTAACAAGGAAAACAGTCTCCTCCTAACTCACATTATCCTCGTGTCTGGGACATGTGTGTGACAGCTGGAGAGGCTGCAGCCAGTGTGGCCCACAGGGATAAGATGTGTTGAGGAGCCTGGGCCCCCGATGACTCCACATTTCCTATTTTCCAATATTCGTTACACATCAGAGAAAGAACACCTCCATTCTGGCTAAGCCACCATGGGGTGGCTGTATCGACTGTCCCTCTAGAACTATACCCCTCTGTCGGTCACTTTTCAGGGTTCATTTCACTGGCTATGTGACTTCCTTTGGCCAATGGGACATAGGCAAACATGACTTGAAAAGGCCCCTGTGTGTCTATCTGGATGCTGTCTCAGTTCCCTGTGTCTGCCAGGAGTTTGTACCCAGGATAACGTGCTAGGGCAGTGGTTCTCAACCTTCCTATCGCTGAGACCCTTTAATACAGTTCCTCATGCTGTGGTGACCCCCAACCATGAAATTCCGTGTTACTTCGTAACTTTAATTTTGCTACTGTTATGAATCATCATGTACCTATCTATGTTTTCCTACTGTCCAAGGCGACCGCAGAGGGGTCGCGACCCACAGGTTGAGATATGTTGTGCTAGCGGCTTAGCATCGCACAGCGGCTGGAGCCACTGCAGACTAACGGACAGCTCTCACCGCCACACAGGGAGCCAAGCCCTCACGATACCCACAGGGCCCTGGAGCAGGTGGAGGCAAACACAAGCACACCTCCACCAGGACCGAGACTGCCATGGGCTGTCCGGAGACTCGCAAACTCGCTGCGCGTTGCTTCTCTTCTGTCGCCGGCTTTGTCATTCGGCCTGTCCTATATCCCTCCTGCACCACGCAGCGAGCCTGTTGTCGATGGCACCTTCAGTCAGCACTGCCTCCCACCTCCAAAGGATCAGAGCGCAGGATGCGGTCTCCCTCGCCCTCTCTCTCCTCTCCTTTCCCCAGGCCCCCTGCTCAGAGTTCTCTGATCCTCTCCGCCTCCCAGGGAGAAAAGAGGGTGAAGACAAGTTCTTATCAGTTCCAG